TCACACAGGACTCAGGAAACTCCGGCTTGGAATTCCCCTCATGCAAAAACAAATGATGTATGTTTAATGTTATTAAATTACAGAGAATTAATTGATAAAGTGATGGAGATTGGAAAATTTGAAACACTTTTGTTGACTGTTGTTTGACTTTTGGTTTCAGCTAAGGCATTGCCTGGATTAAGTTGAGCTTCTGGGGCTGAGCTCACCACCCATTTCTGCCAATAGACTGTGTATGTGCTCTCCATATCTAGTCCCAGGAATGCCATAGGGCACCAGAAGATCCTGGAAATACTGTTGTTTCATATCTGAAATTTGACTTTGTCAGAATAAGGACAGAGAACCTGAATCTAAAAAAAGGAAATGTGGGGGAGTAGTATTGAACTCATTGGTACAGGGAAAGAGTTTCTGAATAGGACAGAAATAACACAGACAAAAGACCCACAATTAATAAATGGGACCACAGGAAACTGTAAGCTCTTGTATGGCAAAGGACACATAACAGGAAAATATTCTGCATCCTAGTGCACAGCCACTTGCTCAGTCACATTCATTGTAGGTCTAGTCATAATAGCCACAAACTGGAAACAGCCTAGATGTCCATCAGCAGATGAGCGGATTAGGGGAACCTGGTGCATTTATGCAGTGGAAGATTACTCACGTGGGAAAAAAGAAATCACGAGAGTGCCGGTAAATGGATGGAACAAAAGATGTTCCCGGTTTCATAATACAGATGGCAAAAGACAAGAATATTGGTTTGAATAATCTTACATTTGGTTATTATCTTTTAAGCATTCAGTAGGGAAGATACTACCCATAAAACCAGAGGATAAGTATAAAGTAATGTCCTGGGATGGAAAGTGTTTCTAAAGGAAGGAGAAAGAACATATAATTTGGAAAGAGGAGACTGGAGAGGATCAAATATAGAGGGGAGAGAGAAGGGGGAATGGGAGGGAATAAGGGAGGTACAGTTAATAGTCAAGACATTTTAGGGGAAATATGGGAATCTACTACAGTAGAATCTTCCTAAAATATATACATATATGAAAGAAATATATTGGAATCACCAAATAGCAGAGGAAACAAATCCCAAATAGACCTATCTTTCCACCAAGTATAACCTCTAGTGCTAGGAATGGGTTATATCTATTTGAGCCTGGGTCAAATCGGGGCCTCTTGGAAATCCCCAAACATCACAGGCTATTGTCACCGCTATTGGTTGCTCTCCAAAATCTGTTGGAAAGGCGATATTGTTGATGACCATATTTAAATACCTCATAATCGTTGAGAAGTTAAGAGAAGCCTACCTTGAACCTTCATTCCTACTGATTAGTGTTTTGGTAGTAGAAGGTACTCTGTAAACTTCCAGAGGATAAAGGGGAATACCAACCCAGATACAAACCCTTGTACCTACAAGGGTGAGCTGTTAGCATGATACACTGGTGTAATAGTGACTCGAACATTGTAGGAGTGGCCTGTCACTGAAGAAAATGTGGTACATTTACACAATGGAGAACTACTCAGTAGAAAAAAACAATGAAATCTTGAAATTCGCAGGCAAATGGATGGAACTAGAAGAAACCATCCTGAGTGAGGTAACCCAGTCACAAAAGACACACATGATATATACTCACTCACATATGAATTTTAGACACACAGCAAAGGATTACCAGTCAACCATCCACACTGCCAGAGGAGCTAGGAAACAAGGAGGACGCCAAGAGATGATTGCATAGTCCCTCAAAGAAGGGGAAGGAGAGAAAACCCCTGAGCAAAGTGGGGGCTCGGGGCGTGGGTGGAGAGAAAGTAGGTGGGAGAGAAGTAGGGCGGGGGGAGGAGAACAAGAGGACTGAGACACGGGAAGAATAGAGGAGGGCAAGAAAGGAGATGCCCTGTTAGAGGGAGACAGTACAGGTATTTAGAGAGGTCTGGCAAGGGAAAATGTTAGGGGATCCACTTTGATGACGACAACTAAGAATCCAGTGGTGGAGAGGATGCCCTTCAGAGATGCTCACCTTGTCTCTTGCTGTCTTGCATGTTCTTGCTGCTCCAGGCACTGGCTAGAAATGCCAACATGGTACCAAGAGCAGAAGCCACCAGAGCTGAAGCAGAGCTGGGGGCCCCACCAGTTTTCCTGGCTTGATGTCCTGGAGGCCACCAAGAAAACTTTAGTGATTGTACTCCACAGGCTCTCCCTCGCTTTGCCTCCCACCCCCTGAGGTGAATGGCTGTCCCATTTTCTCACCAAGGAAACCAGGGGCCTCAGGTGGCAGGTGAACTCTGGCTCCTGTCCAGAAAGAACCCAAATAGACACCCATGTCTGGTAGGTCTCATCACCACCGGGCAGAATGGTCCCAGGCCCAAAAGTCTGCTGCTGTACTGGCTTCCCACCCTGAAGCCAGACCAGGATGGCCACAGGAGGATACAGATTAAAAGCCCAGCATGACAGGCTGATCCTGCCCTTTGGGTATTTCTTGTTGGTCACTTTCACCTTCGGGGGACCTGAGAGGAGAGAGATAAAGTGACAAATTAAAGTGAGGTTGTGGAATTCTCTAGTTTTACATGGAGGGTTGCCTAGAAGAATAACTCCGTTTATATTCACCTCCAGCCTCCCCTCCCTAGAGGCCACAGCTTCCAGTGGTTATAGGACTATGGGAGGCTACAGCCTAGCTCCACTGATTCTCTTTATGGTCCATCCCTCCTTACACTCTGATAATGAGAGGTCTTATTGTCCCTGCTGTCAGCAGCCAGCAGTTCCTCTTTCTACTAAAGGGCACAGATCAACAATGGGAACCAAGAAGCCAGAGGCTCAGTGTTATGGGGGCTACAGATCCAGCCTTGGTCAGATGGACCTCCTTTCTATGACATAGCTGGCTCCACAACCTCTAGGGTACAAGTGAGGGACTCTCTCAGTATAGCTCGCAGACTGTAGCCCTGATTCTTTGTTCCTGGTGTTGCCCCAAAACTGATGACCAGTGTCTTTCTTCCTCCACAGATATCCCAGGCTACCATTTTATTTTCTGTTACAAGACAGAATCGAAGTTTGAACCTCACACTTCAGGTGCCAGAAATGTTCATTATCATAACAGTGCCTCAAAAGGTAGAGGCAGGAAGTGACTGAGTTGAAATGAGGGGTGCTATGAGACTCTGTGTAAAAAGACAAATCCAAATAAAAATAGAAAACATGACCTTTTAAATTTTTTAGGTTTTTTACTCTAAGATGTGTGAATGTTTTGCCAATATGAATGTCCATGTACCATGAATACATGTGGTGCCTACAATGGTCAGCAAAGGGCATGGATGCCCTAGAACTGGAGTTCCAAGTGATTACAAGCCACCATGTGCATTCTTGGAATTCAACCTGGGTCCTCCGCAAGAGCAACCAGGGTTATTGCCCACTGACCAGTCTCACAAGCTCCAAATTGGGAGTTGGATAGCAAGACAGAGATTATAAACAAAGCCAGTCAGTGTGTGCTATCCTACTGAGTAACTATGGTGTGTCAGAGTCACATTTTGGAGGCCTGGGAAAAGACAAATCAGAGCCCTGTGAGGGTGAGGATTTGATGCTTGTATAATTTAGTGAGAACCCAACACCTCAGAAGCACTGTGGCAAGATGCAGTCATGGACCCACCTGTCAATAGTTAGTATCCATGCAAGTCCAATAACTCTTTACAAGGAGGACAGAGAGTGACCAGGTAGCCAGTAAGTGACAGTTCTGGGACTTGAATCCAGGCAGCTTGGCTCCAGAACTCCCTCAGCCTTTCCCTGAGCTCCCCCCAACCCATCATGTATAATGTCTGAGGCAGTGGCACTGTGTAGCAGAACGCAGGAAGGCTCTCACGTGAGAGTAGCCACACAGGGGTTTATGAACATGTACATTTTGTCCCTTCTTTGTCCTAAAAGGTTGAGAATCTACAGAAGTTAGGAGCAGGGATGAGGACGAGGAGCCTGGGCTACACACACCTCTGCACCTTGACTGCAGATTGGAGGAGGGGCAGCAGGTGATCCCAGCTTCATCTCCAGTACTCTGAGGCTGTTCAATCCAAGCCCGACCCTTGCCATGCCAGGGCCAAGATTGGGTATGGTGACATGTGCCTGTGTCGTGGCTATTGGGAGGCAGAAGAGGGAGGGTTGCTGCAGGTTTAAGGCCAGCTAGGGCTACACAGTGAGAACTTGAGTCAAGAATAAATAAAGAAGTAAAGGAGCTGGGTGTGATGGTGCCCACCATTTTAATCCTGGCATTTGGGAGGCAGAGGCAGGCAGATTTCTGAGT